TTCACTGACATCACTGTATGAACATCACTGTATGACATCACTGTATGACATCACTGTATGACTTCACTGTATGACATCACTGTATGACTTCACTGACATCACTGTATGACATCACTGTATGACATCACTGTATGACATCACTGTATGACTTCACTGTATGACATCACTGTATAACTTCACTGTATGACATCACTGTATGACTTCACTGTACACTGTGACGATCCTCTCACAGTTACCACAATACTTCAAGTATTCCTACACCTTCTATCTTGGCTGGCTTTATTATATTGTATTCTGTATATTACATATATATCATATTGCATTTGCTGTATACTGTATATTGCATATAAAGGAATTAATTGTATTGCATATGCGGTTTATTGTATTGTATATGCAACTTATTGTATTATATATGCAATTTATTGTATTGTATAAGCAATTTACTGTAATATATATGCAGTTTATTGTATTGCATATGCAATTTATTGTATTATATATGCAATTTATTGTATTATATATGCAATTTATTGATTATATATGCAATTTATTGTATTATATATGCAATTTATTGTATTATATATGCAATTTAATTGTATTATATATGCAATTTATTGTATTATTATATGCAATTTATTGTATTATATATGCAATTTATTGTATTATATATGCAATTTATTGTATTATATATGCAATTTATTGTATTATATATGCAATTTATTGTATTATATATGCAATTTATTGTATTATATATGCAATTTATTGTATTATATATGCAATTTATTGTATTATATATGCAATTTATTGTATTGTATATGCAATTTATTGTATTGCATATGTAATTTATTGTATTGTATATGCAATTTATTGTATTATATATGTAATTTATTGTATTATATATGCAATTTATTGTATTATATATGTAATTTTATTGTATTATATATGCAATTTATTGTATTATAAAATGCAATTTATTGTATTGTATATGCAATTTATTGTATTGCATATGTAATTTATTGTATTGTATATGCAATTTATTGTATTATATATGAAATTTATTGTATTGTATATGCAATTGATTGTATTATATATGCAATTTATTGTATTGTATATGTAATTTATTGTATTGTATATGCAATTTATTGTATTATATATGAAAGAGATTGTATTCTATTATTTCGATAAACGTCCTAAGAGAGTGCAAGTCCATCACACCTGCAGTGATGTATTACTGCATACATGGATAAGCGATAAAACCGTAGGGATTACACAAAGCGCCCTGGGAAGGGGAGATAAGGATAGCAGATCCAGTTCCTGGAATCAAGATGGTAATATAACAGTAAATATACTAACACCCATAATTCTCTCTCTCTCTCTCTCTCTCTCTCTCTCTCTCGACACTTTTTTTTTTCCACCCGGAGACTCGTAATTTCGATTTATTCTTATTTACGAGTAAATATAACGCTAAAACGTCCCACAAATTTGAATTTTTTCACCTTTGTTTTCCACTGTAGTTATACTAGGCCAGCCAGTCACTCCATATTTATTTCTTCGTAAATTATGCAAACTGCAGAAATTACAAGCCGAAAATTTGGGTCTCCTAAAATATAGGTTACAAGTCTAGGTTACTACTCGGATTATTATTATTATTATTATTATTATTATTATTATTCTTTTTATTATTATTATTATTTTATTATTTTTTATTATTATTATTATTATTTTTATTATTCTTTTTTATTTATTATTATTATTATTATTATTATTATTATTATATTATTATTATTATTATTCACAAAAAAATCTGAATACTTGAATACAGATCACTAATAACCCGCATATAGAGTGAAACATGGCGACCTTTCGGTCCGACTTGTACAACTGGCCAGCCACACAGTGACACAAATCGGACCGAAACGTCGTCATAAGTAACCTTCTCAAGGTTACTTGTGTGTTGTTCCAGTCAATGGTTCAATAAGGAAAACATTGAGGTCAATATTATGCAAAACAACCGCGTTGACGGGGGGGGGGGGGGGTTAAATGATAGCTTTAGGCCTTTCGTGTTGCAGTCAATACATCATCAGGAGCTTGCACACACTAGCAAAGGCGCTTCCTGTGATCATATTTGCTTGGACCTCCTCCTCCTCCTCCTCCTCCTCCTCCTCCTCCTCCTCCTCCTCCTCCTCTTCCTCCTTTTTTCCTAAACACAGCAAGCTCCTGATGATGTGTTGATTGCAAAGCGAAAGGCCTAGAACTATCATTCAACTCTCCCCTCCCCCTCCGAGGTTGTTTTGCATCCTGTATCGCCTGTTTGCGTTTGTTGCATATTACGCATTATATTCATTATAAAGGGCTAAAACCGTAGGGGTGATACAGCGCGCCTGGAAACGAAATAATCAGATTCGGTCCAAGGAAAGGAACAGTTCCAATGCCTTGGAATCAACACCATTTCAGCAGCATCAATGCACCCCCTCCCCCTTCCCCTTCCCCTTCCCCCCTCCCATGAAGCCTGGATCACAACAATTAGCACAACCTGCTTGTTGTATTTCAGCTGTTGTTGCAGCTCCAAGTCTTGTATTATGCATTTTTGAATCGTAAATCTGCAGGCGTTTCCCGGAGATTTACACCTGACCAATGATGATGCCAGGTGTATAGTGTTTGTGTCAGGTGTATAGTGTGTGTGTGTGTGTGTGTGTGTGATGCCAGGTGTATATAGTGTTTGTGCCAGGTGTATAGTGTGTGTGTGTGTGATGCCAGGTGTATAGTGTGTGTGCGTGTGATGCCAGGTGTATAGTGTGTGTGTGTGTGATGCCAGGTGTATATAGTGTTTGTGCCAGGTGTATAGTGTGTGTGTGTGTGATGCCAGGTGTATAGTGTGTGTTGTGTGTGATGCCAGGTGTATAGTGGTTTGTGCAGGTGTATAGTGTGTGTGTGTGTGATGCAGGTGTATAGTGTGTGTGCGTGTGATGCCAGGTGTATAGTGTGTGTGTGTGTGATGCCAGGTGTATATAGTGTTTGTGTCAGGTGTATAGTGTGTCTGTGTTGTGATGCCGGGTGTATAGTGTGTGTGTGGTTCAGGTGTATAGTGTTTGTGCGTGATGCCAGGTGTATAGTTGTGTGTGTGTTGCCAAGTGTATAGTATTTGTGTGTGTGTGGTGTCAGTTGTATAGTGTGTGTGTGTGTGTAGGTGTATGTGTGTGAAGTATATAGTGTGTGGATGCCAGGTGTATATAGTGTTGTGTGCCAGGTGCATGCTGTGTGTGTGGTGTGTGTGGGTGAGTGTGTGTGTTGTGTGTGTGGTGTGTGTAGTGTGTGTGTGTGAGTGTTGTGTGTGTGTGTGTGTCGTGTGTGTGTGTGTGTGTCTGTGTGTGTGTTGCCAGTGTTACTGGTGTATTGTGATTCCATTTGTATGTTTGTGTATACATGCCAGGTATGGATTGTGTGATGAGTAATGTAGTCTGTTGTGTGTACGACACAGATATTTTGGAGTGTGTTTTGTTGTGTCAACACACTACACACACACACACACACACACACACACACACACACACACACACACACACACACACCACACCACACAGGTAAAGATAAGCTTTTGGAGCAAGGGGAGTGACCTAGTAGGCGGGCCAGTGAAGAGGCGGCCAGGAGCTGTGACTCGACCCCTGAATCAAACTAGATGAAAATACAACTGGTGGTACCACACCACACACTCGGGAAACCCGGAGCTATGAATCGACCCCTGCACCACATATTGGTCGCAACCCCACACACACACACACACACACACACACTTAATGCTGTATTTAAGTATTTCTACAGAAGTCTCCATCGTTTAAGAGAGGATCGTCTAATCCGTGTGATCCGGGGAAGTGCAGGGTTGCTGCAGTTCCTCAGATCAAAAGCCCCTCCACAGCATCAACGGACCCTCTTCCCCCTGAAGGAACGCCGGTGTGTAAATTCGGTGTCTTAACAAGCACCATGTCTTAAACACAGTGTCTACTTAGCGTCTAATGTCTACACAATATCTACATTGTCCAATGTCTTAAGTACTATGTCTTAAACACAGTGTCTACATACTGTCTACACAGTGTCTTCATGTCTACACAGTCTACATGTCTGCAGTGTCTATACACTGTCTATATACTGTCTACACACCGTCTACATAATGTCTACATGTCTACATAGTGCTTACACAGTCTACAGTTTCTACACAATGTCTAGATAGTGTCTACATTATTAAGACACTGTGTTTAAGACAAGGTGTCCCGTGGCTCGGTCGGTAACGCACTCACCTCTCACACGCTGAGTGTCCGGGGTTCGATCCACGGTACGGGTGGAAGCGCTGGGCATGTTTCCTTACACCTGCAGCCCCTCTTCGCCTAGCAGTAAGTAGGTACCTGGGTGTTAGTTACCTTTCACCTGCTGCCCCTGTACACCTAGCAGTAAGTACGTACCTGGGTGTTAGTCGACTGTTATGGGTGGCATCCTGGGAGGTGGTAGTGTGAGCTTTGAAATGAGCTGAGATTGGACAACAGCTCTCAGTCTGTACAAAAAAAAAAATTGATTTGTGTAAAAAAATTTATTCTGTCTTCTGCTCTAAGACATTACAATACTTACACAAGGGAAGGAAGAAAAGGCACAATACCGTGACTGGAACAATACATGAGTAACTAACACTGAGGAGAGAGGAGCTGACCACGACGTTTACGGTCCGTCTTGGACCATTTACAAAGTCACACTGTGACTTTGTAAATGAAGAATTGAGACACTTATGCAACACATGGGAATCTTTATTGAAGAAACGTTTCGCCACACAGTGGCTTCATCAGTCCAATACAAAGTAGAAATGGGTAAGGAGAGTAGAAGTATGAGGTAATCAGTCCCTCAACCTGGATTCGATGTGTTCAGTCCATCACTCTTGTAGTAAGTGATGGACTGAACACATCGAATCCAGGTTGAGGGACTGATTACCTCATACTTCTACTCTCCTTACCCATTTCTACTTTGTATTGGACTGATGAAGCCACTGTGTGGCGAAACGTTTCTTCAATAAAGATTCCCATGTGTTGCATAAGTGTCTCAATTCTTCAACTTGTCGGTTTTCAAAACCATTCATCACACTTTGTAAATGGTCTCGGACCGACAAAGTCACACTGTGACTTTGTAAATGGTCTCGGTCCGACAAAGTCACACTGGAGAATGTGAGGTTATCAGATTTGATGTATGGGGACGGGGAAGGAGGGGGGGACTAGCGCCACTTCCTTAGAACAAGAGCCCCCTTCCTCTCCCCCCCCCCTATCACACACAGAAGCATCAACATACTGAACATCCGGTCATAAGGGTTGTATCCCGGGGCTACTGTGTGGCTTCTTGACCTCTATCAGCGGGTTGTAGCTCCAAGCGGTGTTGGCCTCAACTCACAAGTCAACGGTGAACCTCCAGATGTCCTTCAGCTCGAGGACAAAGTCCTTGTCGAGGTCGACCTTCACGGTGACGCGGAGCCTCAATGAGTCAGCCTCGTAAGTGTAGGAGCCTAAGGGGTGCTCCACTTGGTTGAGGAGAATCTCCGAGGGTTCCTTCTCCACCCCTAGGAACTCCAGGTCCACCATCTTGAGACCTTGCAGGTCATGAGCCAGGTCCTGGAACACCGTCATCCTCAGCCAGTTCTGAAGTGAGTCAGGTCACCGGGTTAGTGTGTGTACTCACCTAATTGTGGTTGCAAGGGTCGATACTTAACTCCTGGCCCCGCCTCTTCACTGAGTGCTATTAGGTCTTCTCTCTCCCTGCTCCATGAGCTTTATCATACCTCATCTTAAAGCTATGTATGGTTCCTGCCTCCACTGCCTCACTTGCTAGGTTATTCCACTTCCTGACTACTCTATGACTGATGAAATACTTCCTAACTTCCCTTTGACTCATCTGGGTCTTCAACTTCCAATTGTGACCCCTTGTTTCTGTGTCCCATCTCTGGAACATCCTGTCTCTGTTCACCTTGTCTATTCCACGCAGTATTTTGTATGTTGTTATCATGTCTCCCCTAACCCTCCTGTCCTCGTGTGTGTGTGTGTGTGTTGCTGGAACTCCGAGGTGTTAACCAACTGCAACACACACACACTGGTCAGTGTGTGTTACAGTTGGGTCAAGTCAATTTCATTAAGGGATCTTTGAAACACTGGTTATTTCACTTAATAAAGAGGTGTGTTCGTTACCCGTAGTCAGAGGCACTTTTAGATAGACATTTGACCTGTTTGTGTTTGTGTATGTGTGTGTACGTGCGCACGCGCTCTTGTGTGTGTGTGTAATCCCGCCTCTTTGACCAACCACTTTGAGGAAAAACCTGTTTCTGTCATCCGGGGCCCTTTATATCCCACCCCATTTAAAAATTCACCCAAAATCATTCCACTTCTCAAGGGCCCCTGAAATTAAAAAAATTTTCCCCCCCACATCCGTTATTCATTGTTTTTCAACTTTAACCTGGGTTTCGCTTGTTCTTGGTTTTTTTAAAATTCATTGTTTTTTTTTCCCCTTTTTTTTTCCCCCTTAAAACATTTTGTATTTTTTAAAACCATGTCGCTGCTTACCCTCCCCCAAAGGTCTTCGGGTTCTTTTCCTTCAACCTGCCCTCATGTGAATTTCTCCAGATTTGGAACCCTTGTTGAAAGATGTTCAGATTTTTTCGATCTTTGTGTGTCGTCCAGGTGTGGGCTCTATGCTGGGTTTTTCGTATCAGTGATTGGTCTAATATACGTCGACTTAAAGGTTTTTGAAAGATTATTTTTTCCCAAGTTTTTTAATGCTACTCTGGGGGTTTTGGGTTAATGTTGCATATGCCGCAGACTTTTGTGCGTTTTTTAGGGTTTTTTTTGGCGTTTTTTTTGGTGTTTTTTAAACCTGGGCCCCCTTTCCCTTTTTGATATTTGAAAATTCTCTTGGGAAACTTTGCAAATACTTACGTCGGTCTTCCATTCTCCAAATTGGTGCCCTTGCTTTTATTTGGGGTTTGAATTTAAAACCCTTTTTTTTTCTTTACAAATTTTTTCAGTTTTTGTTAAGGACTCATTTTGGCGCTTACCCACTTTTTTCCCCTGTTTTAAAATATTTTTTTTTAATTTTACATCGGGCAAACAAGGACACAAAAAAAGTAAAACCCCTTTCTGGTAAAATCTTTCAAAATTTTGGGAAAACGATAGCATTTTAATTAGTGAGCTTTGCGTTTACTTAACCCCGCTACTATTTTCCCAAGCCCTAATGCACATCACTTACTGTTATCATCTACCTTCTGTCACTCAGGTATTTCCTGAGCCCCTGCATCACTATGCTTTTAATCCTACTTGTTTCTTTTATCTCTTATGTGCAATATGGTGATGCAGTCCACCCAACTCCAAGTCCACCCACCTCCTTTTATCTTTGTGGAACGTCACAGAATTCCAGAAAGTTTGTTACAAATGATTTCTTTTCCATCTCTAAATCTGAATTGGTCTTCTCTAGTGAATCTTCATGCGTTTCAATACATTTCTCTTACAATCTTTTGCAGAACCTTTATTTTTGAATTGCGGATATCCCTTTGGCTATTTTTAAACTTTCTGGCAGCTGCAGTGATTGAAGGAGCTCGTCGAATACTTGTCATTGGGTTACACAGACTGGTTCTGTTTCTCTCATTTGTGCCATCAAGCTCCTGTACTTGTTTCATCACTTTCTTTGCCTTGTTGATGCCGATGAGTAGCTCTTGATCTCTTCTGGCTGCAATGCTTTTCCGTAGCTCTCCAGACTTTTTCTGTGAAGACCTCTGAATCTTTTCCCAAGCTCTTGGCATATTTTTCTGTCATCCTCAGTTCCCCTCCGTCAGCCTCATCACTTGGCTCTTCACACTTGTTGTTTTACTTATCTGACTGTGGAGTAACTTGGGTTAAGTTTTGGCAGTCTGTGTCAAAACTGAACTTAAGTTCAAACTACCTTCCAACTTCCCCTTTATTCTTGCACATTCTTCTTTAGTTCTCCTGATTTCTTCCCAGGGTTCTTGCCACTGCCATCGGTGTATCTGCGTTCCTGACTCAACCAGGACTCTCTTTGTTTCTCTTATTTCTTTTCTTTCATGTTTGGTATGAATCATCCCTTTTGCCTCTTGGCACTTTGATTCTATCACCTCCATCCTCTCATATACATCTTAACCATCCAGTTTCCTTTCCCACTGTGTGTATGTGTGTGTGTGTGAGTACTCACCTAGTTGTACTCACCTAGTTGAGGTTGCAGGGGTCGAGTCCAAGCTCCTGGCCCCGCCTCTTCACTGGTAGCTACTAGGTCACTCTCCTTGAACCGTGAGCTTTATCATACCTCTGCTTAAAGCTATGTATGGATCCTGCATCCACTACATCGCTTCCCAAACTATTCCACTTCCTGGCTACTCTGTGGCTGAAGAAATACTTCCTAACATCCCTGTGATTCATCTGTGTCTTCAACTTCCAACTGTGTCCCCTTGTTGCTGTGTCCCATCTCTAGAACATCCTGTGTGTGTGTGTGTGTGTGTGTGTGTGTGTGTGTGTGTGTGTGTGTGTGTGTGTGTGTGTGTGTGTGTGTGTGTGTGTGTGTGTGTGTGTGTGTGTGTGTGCGTGTGTACATATACATAGTTATAGAGGATTGTGAAGCACAGTTTACTTTCCCTGAACCAGTGCCAGTCAGTGTTCTGTGAACCAGTGCCAGTCAGTGTTCTGTGAACCAGTGCCAGTCAGTGTTCTGTGAACCAGTGCCAGTGTTCTGTGAACCAGTGCCAGTCAGTGTTCAGTGAACCAGCACCAGTATTACTATCATAATCAATGGGAAGCGCTAAATCCGTATGAACCGTGCAGAGACCATTATAGTGGGACGAAATCAGGCTTGATCCAACAAGGGGGAAAGGAGGGGGTAACCACAATTCCTTGGATCAAAAGCCCTTCATCAGCGTCAAGTCATATTAGCGCAATAAAGTGAAGCCTCGTAATATCAGCCATTCACAGCGACCTTACTGATAATTTCATCAGGATTTTATGTTAAACTTACGAAAATATAATTGAAGTTACGTCTGGAAGTCTTGGAAGTTTTGAGGTGAAATCCAATTACCAATGTTTCTTTGGTCGGATGCATCCACACGTCATCTGGCTTACTGTGATGCATCCACATGTCATCTGGCTTACTGTGATGAATCCACACGTCATCTGGCTTACTGCGGTGCATCCACATGTCATCTGGCTTACTGTGGTGCATCCACACGTCATTTGGCTTACTCTGGTGCATCCACATGTCATCTTGCTTACTGTGGTGCATCCACATGTCATCTGGCTAACTGTGGTGCATCCACACGTCATCTGGCTAACTGTGGTACATCCACGCTTACTATAACATACCTCAGTGGTATGTAATATCGCATCTCATCGCTCATTACACTATTACATTCCAGTATCCTTGGTCATGGACTTATGTTACACCACCCTCCACACCACCTACAACACTTGTGTTACACCACCCTCCACACCACCTACAACACTTGTGTTACACCACCCTCCACACCATGTGATGTAGTCCACTGTGCTTTTGAGGTCGCTAAGGGACACCTAATTTAACCTAATTAAATGGTCACACCTTGCCTTGAAAAATAGCTGTCAGACATGCATCTCGGCTTAAGTCTGAGGTCTTTTGTTCTTGATGGCGTCAGATCAAAGCACATGGTGCACACCCCAATGTGCGGGGTGCTTTGAGGACCATATAACCCCAAGGAACAGCTGAGCAAGGAGATTCGAGTGGAGCTCTGGCCTGTGTGCAGGGCTCGGGAGAAGGCGGCTAGAGAGTCTCTAGAGGAGACTTGGTTGGAGTCAGTGGGCAGAGTACTGGCGTGGAGCAGTACTCGGCTGTGTAGGTCTTGGGACCTGTGGCTAGTGTGTGTGACTTAGTTCCTGTGGTGAATTGTCATCTGAACTATATTGTAAGTTATATTCTGTTTCGTCAGTTGATTGTATTCCTTGTCTCACTGCTTATATGTACCATCACCATTTATCTAAACTCCAACAGTGTTCTCCTATTCCCAAATATATTATTGTACAAGGACTTAATAATAAACTGTGTTTGAGTGGAACAGGAATATTCGCTGTCCCCGTTATTCATTCTTTTATTCATTAATTTATTTAAAGTACTGAGAGGGTGAGTAGTGTGGTGGTGGTGGTGGTGGTAATGAGAGGTGATGGTGTAGTCACCACTGACTTCACATTACCTCCGCTAATCTCTCGACTCGCCTCTCCTGCCTAACTCCTGTGATTCATTCATTCATGTTGATTCGCCGGTACTTCCGGCCCGGGTCTTCTCCAGATGGTGACCTGGCTACTCCCTCCCTTTACTCCCTTATTCCCCACTTATCGCTATACGTTCCATTGCCCCCTACATGACAACCATCTACACCGCTTGTGTTACACCACCCTCCACACCGCCTACAACGCCATTTGTGTTACACCACTCACCTACAACACCGCTTGTGTTACACCACCCTCCACACCACTCATGAGGAACATAAATAATACACGATAGTTCTTAATCTTGATTTAAGAACATAGCTTTTTCCTCACAACAAATAGCGTTGTATTCTGTTCTCCGTCTTTTGTGTGTGTGTGTGTGTGTGTGTGTGTGTGTATTCTCACCAAATCTTTCTGCTCGGCTATGTTTCCTCAGCTATGTGAACGGAAGCGGTGGTATCTAGATTACAGCTGGTCCTCAGCAGATAGCCTCTATACCACCTGCAAGGTGGTATAGAAGCGGTGGTATTGTTTTCGTTTCCTCGTCAGGGGGAAGCAGTCACCTGACACGATTCTTTATCACCCGAGGTCCCCTCAAGGAAGGTTCCTTGATGTTGGTGAGGGGCTCTTGATTTAGGGAATTGGATCTGTGCTCCAGTTCCTCGAATTAAGCCTGAATGCCTTCCACATCCCCCCCCCCAGGCGCTGTATAATCCTCCGGGTTTAGCGCTTCCCCCTTGATTATAATAATAATAATAATATCACCCGAGGCTCGGCTCAGTGATTCCTTCATTAGGTTCCTCTTAATGATGTCATTCCTGCATTGGTTGATTATAATCAAAGGCTACAGTTAATTAACTGTGACCTTGATGTGTCACAAAATCTCTCCTGATAAACTTGTTAAATGCCGGAGAGTACTTAACTCTCTCTTTACTGTCTGACGGAGTGTTTGGCCAAACTTTTTCAGAACCGGTGGGACTGAGGATCGATCCTCTACCAGCGTTTACCCTTAATGATCTACACGAGTTTAGTGACTCACCGATTATATATTTATGTTCAATATGTGACAATCCTGTGTAAAACCACACCTCACCACACTACCATTATCGCTACACCACCATTATCACTACACTACACTACCATGATCACTACACCACCATTATCACTACACTACACTACACTACACTACCATTCTCACTACACTCTACTAGTCTCACTAGTATAACCCATGTGGTCTTACCACATTATTTGTCAATATAACTGACACACTCACCTGAATGAAGGTAAACTTTAGCAGGCTGTACTTTCTTCGCCCTATTGTGTCTATTGACTCTCCATCGTCCCAGAATAGCTGGCCAGATGCCCTCCTGTCGAGGCCTATGGCCACCAGCACCCCCAAGGGCTGTCTCCTTGAGAGGAAGGTGTTGAGGGCCGGCCGCTGCGTGGGCAGGATGTGGCCCCCGCGGATGTGCAGAGGAATGACGTCCCACGGGGCAGGAACCTTCACGTACTCCCCTGGCCACTCAATAGGCTTTCCCTGTGGGAGATTTAGGCACTCGTCATGAGAGGGTGTGCCAGGTTTAACTGCACATGCACATGCACATGCACACACACACACACACACACACACACACACACACACACACACACACACACACACACACACACACACACACACACACACACACACACAGACCAGTGTCTTTGATAACTAGTAGCTGCTACTACCACTTCTACTACTACTACTACCACTTCTACTACTACTACTACTACTACGACACACACACTTGGGCTCAGATGAGTTACATTGGAAAGAAACATCACAAAATCATCAATTAATATTGCAGAGATTAATCATCGTGGCAAGACTTGCATGGGGAAGCAAAGGAGCGGTGACTTACGGTGTAGTAGTCATACCAGAAGTCGTGTGGGAAGTAGACGCGTCTCTCCAGGTCTCCCTCCTTCAGCACGGGAGAGACCATCAAGCACCCACCCCACAGGAATTGGTCGTCGATACCCAGTGTCCGTCGGTCTTCTGGAAATCTGAAATAGGACCACCGGGGATGAAGTCTCAGGTCGTATTGTTAGGAACAGTATTATTGTGAAGCTGGGAGCTGGGAGTCGGGCTGGTGAGGTTACGAGCTAGGAATCAGGTATAGCCAGCTGGAATAGTCCCAATTACTCCTGAGATACTGGGAATGCCTCAGTTTGGAATATTCCTGGACAACGTAGCTAGGAATGAGCAATCGGTTGTTATTTAATTCTTTTTTTAGAAATTCCGTTGGTATCTTATTAAGCGCGTTGTCAACTATCCATTTTACCCTTTGTCAATTTTTACCCATTATCCATTAACCATTGACTGTTGTCCGTTGCTCTTTCCCGTTATACAGTGTCTGTTGTCATTTACCCTTCCTCCGTTACACAATGTCTATTGTTATTTACCCGTTCTCCGTTGCACTACATCCGTTGTTACCCGTTGTTCACTGGCTTCCCCGTCAAGTATTTAGCAGTACGGTTAACCACTGTATGCAGCCAGGACCAGAAAACCAAAGTAACAATATAATTATCTGTTGGGAATTCAGCGTCAGGAATTCTGAAGGGGAGTTATCTGGATGGAATTTAAGCCAGGAATCACGATAATTACCTGCATTAGTGAGGCAATTTTTGCTTCACTTGCTTACAGAACTGTTATGAATTAATCTCTGCGAACCATCAGTTGTAATGATGATAGTTTCCTAATGTAAATTTTTCGAATGTATATGAGATCCTCTGAAGTTGGGTTTAGTGCTCAGTAATAAATTATTGCTGAGCACTTAATTATTGCATACACGTGTATGTATTGCAAGCCGCGATGGAAGGGGGGCGGAGGAATGTAGTAGCTCAAGACCTTTCGCACTGTCACCAATGCTTCGTCAGGAGCTTTGCAATATAAGAACATTGAGAAATGAGAAGAAACAATGAAAGAGGTCGACTTGTGTGGTGCGGCAAAATGCCTTCAACACCAGAATGTACATGTACGTGTACATGTACATCTGCATAATGCAACATATATATACATACTGTATATATATACATATATATAAATATATATATATATATATATATATATATATATATATATATATATATATATATATATATATATATATATAAAATATATATATATATATATATTTTATATATAATATATTATAGGCAATAAGATCACAGTAAAAAAGGTGATTTCAGAATATGCAAAACAACCACTCTGAAAGAATAGAGAAAATCCAAGCGCTTTCGTGACTACTCACATTATCAAGGAACTATGATAATGTGAGTAGTCACGAAACGCTTGGAATTTCTCATTCTTTCAGAGTGGTTGTTTTGCATATATAAAATATATATATATATATATATATATATATTAATATAAAATATATATATAATATATATATATATTTTATATATATATAAAATATATATATATATATAATATTATTTGTGTATACACACACACCTAAGCATACATGACTAACTATACATGGGAGACACAGACTTCAGAAAATAAGTTTATTTAATTTTGGGAAATTTAACGACCTAAGAACCAGAACTACTCGAGCGAGGAAGTGGAACGACCCTAAGAACTAACACAACCACCTAGATATGGAAGCTGTTATTAAAATTATAGTGGAGCGGTGAACCCTTAGGGGCTATGCAGCACCTGACGATTGGATGGCAATCAGGGTAAGAGCAACTCCAGTACCCTGAATCAAGAGCCTTTCACCGGCGGCAAGGCACCTTCCTCTAGCAGAAAAACAAGAATGAAACTTCACAAAGCAGCATCAACAGTAGGCCAGTGGCGGGGCCATGACTCGACCCCTTGCCACCACAAACAGGCGTGTACATGTGTACAAAGTCTGGTGGACACAGAGAAACACAGGATGACATAAACAAAGGCAAAGCCAGAGGGGTAGACGGAGACAGAGAGACAGACACTAGTCCCAGGTGTTGGTCTTCACTGACTATCGCGGCACTGGAGCTCGTAATTACATTTAAGGCTTCGTAATTAACTCTTGTAAGACCTGGATAGAACCTCCACACATTTCCCAGCTCGTACTCACCTACCCTTCCTCAACCCCCATTAGCCCCTCCTCCTTCCTCAACCCTCCTTAGCCCCTCCTCCTTCCTCAACCCTCCTTAGCCCCTCCTCCTTACTCAAACCATCCCAACCCCCTTACATTTCATACCCCGGTACACTAGTCCTTCCTTATACTTCTCTTCACATCACTCCCCTATCCCTCCCTCTTTACTCCCCTCTTCTCATCTACTCCCTCTCTTATCCCCCCACTCCCTCTCCGCCTCCCCCTCTCCCACCCCCCTATCCTCCGTCTCCCACTTTAGCTCAAGAACAAAGAAGAGCAATAATGTCTTTTCAATTCTTTTGTTTTTCTACGCAAGAACAATCATATTTTCGATTTCTTACCATTGTCAGAGCCAATATTGAGACATCTTTTTTCAGGTAACTTACCAATGGTGGCCTCAGGGTCCACAGACCAGTGGTGGCCTCTCAAGGTTCATAGACTAGTAGTGGCCTCAAGGTCCACAAACCAGTGGTGACCTCAAGGTCCACAGACCAGTGGTGGCCTCAAGGTCCACAGACCAGTGGTGCCCAAGGTCCCAGAAGTGGTGCCCCAAGGTCACAAACCGTGGTGGCCTCAATCACAAAAGCCTCAAGTCTTTTGACATGTTGACCACATCAAAATTCATGAATAGTGGATCAAAGTTACATTTCCGTGAAGCCTCAAAAGTTAAAGACCAGTGGTTAGGCTGAAGCCTCACACCCTGCCCCGTGCTCGCCACCGTCGGCCACGTCTGCGCCATGCTGGGCCTCAGTGCACAAACCGTGTGCGCCACCGTCTGCCCACCGCGGACTACCGACCTGTGCCCGTCAAGGTCATCGACTACGAACGTGGCCTCCGTCCACACCGTGGTGGCCTACACTGCGCACAACGTGGTGGCCTCAATGGCCACCGTCTGCAGTGGTGGCCTCAAGGTCCGACAACCAGTGGCGACTCACCGTCTCAGCCAGTTCGTCTTCGAACGTCTGACTACGTTGGCCCTCAAGGTCTCAACCGTTGCCCCAGTCAGACCATGTGGCCTCACGGTCCACAGACCGTGGCCTCAAGGTCCACAGCCCAATGGTGGCCTCAAGGGCCCCAGACCAGTGGTGGCCTCAACGTCCACAACCACCGGTTGCCTCAACCGTCTACGCCAGTGTGGCCTCTCAAGGTCAAGACTGGCGCCCACGTCCACAGTACCTTTGGCTACCTCAGGCCAGACTGGGCCTCAGGTCACAGATCATGGTGAATCAAGGTTCGAAATCTGTGGTAGCCTCAAGGTCTACAGCCAGTGAAAGCATAGAGTTCATAGACTAGAGTGCCTAGTCTACATACAGTGATGGCTCAAGTTCACACTTATGTGGTGGCTAAGGAAGGAAATATGAGCTCGAAGGTCCACAGACCAATGAAAGCCCCAGACAACCAGTGTCCTCAAGGTCACAAACCAGTTGGCCTCAAGGCTACATGCCAGTGGTGCTCAAGGTTCATAGACCTAAGTGTGTCCTAAGGTAAGACCGTGGTGGCTGGTAGGTAAGCGTGGTGGCCTCAAGGTCCACAGGACCAATGGTGCCTCAAGGGTCACAACATGGTGGCCTCAAGGTCCACATAACCAGTGGTGGCCTCAGGTTAAGACCGTGGTGGCCCCAAGGTCCACGACATGTGGCCTCAAGGTCCCAGACCGTGTGGCCTCAAGGGCTCAACAGTGTGTGCTCAAGGTCAGCAGACCTGGTGCCTCAAGGTCCACAGACCATGGTGGCCTCAAGGCAAAAATGGTTGGCCTCATTATTTTCAGACCAGTGGTGGCATCAAGGTCCACAGACCAGTGGTGGCTCAAGGCCACAGACCAGTGGTGGCCTCAAGGTCACAATGTGGCCTCAAAGGTCCCGACCAGTGGTGGCCTCAAGGTCCACAGACCAGTGGTGGCCTCAAGGTCAAGAACCATGGTGCCTCAAGGTCCAAAGACCATGGTGGCCTCAAGCCACAGACCAGTGGTGGCCTCAAGGTCCACAGACCAGTGGTGGCCTCAAGGTCCACAGACCAGTGGTGGCCTCAAGGTCCACAGACCAGTGGTGGCCTCAAGGTCCACAGACCAGTGGTGGCCTCAAGGTCCACAGACCAGTGGTGGCCTCAAGGTTCACAAACCAGTGGTGGCCTCAAGGTTCACAAACCAGTGGTGGCCTCAAGGTCCACAGACCAGTGGTGGCCTCAAGGTCCACAGACCAGTGGTGGTCAAGGTCCACAAGACAAGTGGTGGCCTCAGGTCACAAACCAGTGTGGCCTCAAGTTCACAAACCAGTGGTGGCCTCAAGGTCCACAGACCAGTGGTGGCCTCAAGGTCCAAAGACCAGTGTGTGCTCTGCATAAACTTAAAGTCTCCATCTAAAAAACTCATTACCTTTTGACAACATTATTACCACATAAAAGTACCAAAACTGTGTGAAGATATTACATTTTCCCTAAAATTTAAATAATCTTAAAGAGCAGCGTTGTAAGTGGCTGTAGGAAGCCTCACGCCTACCGTCTGCGCCTACCGTCTGCGCCACCGTCTGCGCCACCGTCTGCGCCACCGTCTGCGCCACCGTCTGCGCCACCGTCTGCGCCACCGTCTGCGCCACCGTCTGCGCCACCGTCTGCGCCACCATCTGCGCCTACCGTCTGCGCCTACCGTCTGCGCCACCGTCTGCGCCACCGTCTGCGCCACCGTCTGCGCCACCGTCTGCGCCACCGTCTGCGCCTACCGTCTGCGCCTCCAGACCTACGCTCATTTGAATAATGAATTGATATTTTGTGAGTAAAAGCCACTTTTAGTTTCAGAAAAATAGAGAACTTTTAGAATCCAGGTGACGCTTCTTCCATACTAATATTAGTTCAGACTTTTTTTGGGGCGTAGGAAGGAAAATTTTATTATAGAAGTTCTTGGACCCGCATTAAACAAAAAATGAAAGC